TTGTTTGGCTCCTGGTCCACCTGCTTGCCCGGCCCTGCCTTTTGTGGAGGCTGCTGGCACCAGTTGGCAAGACTGAGTCCCAAGGCGGCTGATTGTGAAACCCCAGAGGTCTTCAGGGCTACAGCTGGGCATAATCAGGGTCCATAAGACTCCAGGACTATAACTTACTCACTGGTGGGTGAAGTCAGGCTCTGGTGTTAGTGCCAGCCTATGGGCTGGCAGAGCCAGGTCCTGGAGTCTTGTTGCAGGGCTTGGGTGTCCCAGAGCTGGTGTTAGATCACTGGTGGAGGGGGCCAGTTTCTGATTCAGTTGTGTGTGGGGTCCTGGGTGTCCCAGAGCTCGTGTTGACCTGCAAGTGGGCATGGCCGGGGCCAAGTCAGTCCCAGGTCCGGGTTGGGCCTACTGAGTGACTCTGGTTTGCTTGTGTGTGATGTCTGCCCCCTCGTGGGTAAGGCTGGTCCAGAGGCTAGAGCAGGCTCTCCGGAGGGGTGGGCCATGTCCAGAGTTGACTGTGGGCTCATGGAGTCTTGAGTCAGCCTGTCTGCTAATGGGTGGGGCTGTCTCCCCACCCAGTTAGTTGCTTGGCCTGAGGCGTCCCAGCACTGGCACCTGCAGGCCATTGGGCAAGCGTAGGGCTGGGTCCTGAGGCTACTAAGTAGAGGAAGGATTCCACAGTAATGCTTGCCAGCAGCAGTGTCTAGGTGGTAGAAGGAGCTGCCCAAAATGGCTGCTGTCGGTTTCCATGTCCCCAAGGTGAGCTGCACTTGCCTTCTGTCTCTCTAGGAGATTCTTCAAGATCAGCAGGTAGGATTCCTATTAAGCTCCTCTCAATTTATTGCTTCCTCCATGAGTCCTCCAGCATATGAGATTTTGTGTGTACACTTTAAAATGAAGTCTCTATTTCCCAGCCCCCTGGGATTCCTGAAAGCAAACTTGTCTGGCCTTCAAAGTCAGATGCTCTGGGGGTGCATCTTTCCAGTGCAGGTCCCCCAGGCTGAGGAACCAATGTGTGGTTCAGATCTCCATCTCCTCTGGGAGAACCTCTGCAGCTGTAATTACTCCCTAGTTTGGAGGTCACCCACCAGAGGGTATGGGACTTGACTGTATCACAAGTCTACTCCCTACACACCTTGTTGTGGTTCCTTCTTTATAGCTTTAATTGGAATTTCTTCTTAGAAGGTTCTGTTTTTTTCCCCTGATAGTTGTTCTGCCAAAAGTTGTGATTTTGGTGTGTTAGTGAGAGGAGAGGAACTCAGGGTCTTTCTGTTTTACCATCTTGGTTGATCTCCCATAGTGGTTTTTTTCAAAGATTCACACAGAAACTTGAGTACAGTAATTCCTATGTAATTCAGTCCCAGATTCAAGTGTTTTAGGCTTGATTTTTATTAGAGAAGCTTTGAGAAACGATTGCAAACATCCCTGGTTATATTGCAGCACTGTAGCCCCAGGATCTAGGGTTTACACTGGGGGTAACGCAAGCCCTCACACACAGAAGGTTCATCCTGGCATCCATGAGGACTTTCTCACCAAGAGCAATGTGTTGGCCTCTGACTGAGGATCAAAGCAGAAGGGAGATCCTTGCAATAGTTTTTTTTAGGGTAATAATTTTCCAGTGTCAGCTTCTGGATAAAGCACTTTAGGTGTCTCAAAGTTACAGCAACTTGACACTTTCGCCCAGAAGCTTATTTTCTGTGAGGTTCAGGAATGCCAGTGAGTGCTTGGTTTCAAGGGGAGGAGGAAAGATGAACTCATTAATGAATGTTGACAGAACAAGATACCAGCATGAGACAGTACAGATTGCATTTTGGGTGTCTCAAGGCCTCACACAATGGGGAAAGCACATCATTTTGGTCATTTCCTTTGAAGGCCAGATGTGTTGCCTTCTTATGCGTTGCCACTTATAGCCACCAAAAGTGAGGCAGAAGTTTCAATAGGCATCAGCTGAGGAAATAACTTTGAGAATCAGTTTCTGCACATGACTGGTAGAAGAGCCTAATTTCTCATAAAGAATCCTCACCGATGAAGTATTAAGAAATCTCTGATGTCCAGAAATACTAGATTCTTGTTTGAGCCAAACATGGAACAAAGATCCATCCAGACAGGAAGCAATTATTGATCATTCTTGGACTCTCAATATCTGGTTTTGATACATTTTCATTCTCCAGAAATATTCCCTTTTGTAACTGTAGCAAACCTTTCTGAAAGATTTGACAGTGCTTGAGGCAGAACAATTTAAGTTCATAATATCTTTTTTATTTTTCACTTATTGGGATATCTCCTTATCATAGACCTTTGCATGCTTCAAAGGCTGCTCTTCCTGAGATTTGTAAAGATGGTGCAAAACCAGCTTTGTGTCCGTCATTGAGGAGGAGGCTGTACTCTTTTCAGACTATGCTTTGATTTCAGTAAGTCCAAGTGACACTTGGCAGTCAAAAATTGTCTCTGACCTCCTGGCTCTGTTTTGATTAGAGAGACTGAATAAGTATGCTGCTTGGGTCAGTCGGGAGTTCTTTAGTCTTTTTTCCTTGAAAAGTAGCTTCTGCACATCCTCCGTGTCCTTCCTGAGTCTACCCCTGTCTTCCTCCTCCTCACTCTCCAAAATGTTGGATACAATGACAGGAAACTGCCAGCTACTGAGGTGGATGAAGAAGTAGCAGCCCTCACAACCTGTGCCCCTCTGCAGGGTATCCCCATCCAGGAAAGGACAAAGATCAGACTCTTTTGACCAAAACCTCCTGAGGGCTTCTCCTTCGAACATAGATGTCTGCATCCACATGACCTCAGCACTAGGAGAAACAGAGCCTTCATTAGAGCATGGAGGTGTTGCCAGGCACCTGCATGAACTGGTTGCAAAGGAAACACAAGAACAGCAATGTGGTAGTTTGGCAAGCCAGGGCTGGGTCTTTCCTCTTCCTCATCTCAGTTTCAGACAAGTGCAGACAATCCAGCACTCCTGTTTAACATTGTAGTGGAGGTTTTAATTATTGCAATAAGAAAAAAATTATTGCAATAAGGCAAGAAGAAGAGAAGTTGTACAGATGGGAAAGGAAGAAGTAGTGTTACCTTTATTTGCAATCAACATGATCCTCTATTTAGAAAATCATAAGAAACCAATAAAAATTTTTAAACAACTGAAACCAAGAGCACGTGAACAAGGTTGCAGTATATAAATCAATATTTCAAAATTAATTGTATTTCCATATTTTATAAATGAACAATCTTAAATGAAGAGAACAGTTACATTCACACTATCATCTAAACTTTAAAGAGGTTTAGGAATAAGTTTAATGAAAGAAAAATAAGTCCTATATACTGAAATCTACAGAAGTTTTTAAGAGAAGTTAAGGAAAATTCAAATAAATGAGGAAATGTACCATGTTTATGGATTGGACCACACAAAATTATAAAAATGATGCAGTTCTACCCGAATTTTATTAGAAAAGCAAAGAATCTACCCAAAACAATTTAGTAAAAGAAAAAAATTGAAATTTTTGTACTATTTGATTTCAAAGCTCACTATGAAGCTGCAGCAATTCAGACAGTGTTACACTGTCAGTGTTAGCACAAAGATAGATTTATATATCAGTGGAACAGAATTGCTAATCCAGAAATAGATCCTTACGTTTATTGTCAATTGATTTTCCACAGAGGTTTCAAAGTCATTGAGTAGGGAAATCTAATCTTCCCAGTAAATGGCTCTGGGACAGTCTTATCCCCATACAGAAAAAAAGAGAGAGCTTAGACAAGACACCATAAAACTTCTGTGCTTAGTCGCTCAGTCGTGTCCGACTCTGCGACCCCATGGACTGCAGCACACCAGGCTCCTCTGTCCATGGGGATTCTCCAGTGAGAATACTGGAGTGGGTTGCCATGCCCTCCTCCAGGGGATCTTCCCAATCCAGGGATCAAACCCAGGTTTCCCACATTGCAGACAGATTCTTTACCAGCTGAGCCACNCACATATCTGGAAAAATCATACTTGGAAAAGATATGTGCACCCCAGTGTTCATTGAAGCAGTATTTACAGTAGCCAAGGCATGGAAGCAATCTAAATATCCAATGATAGATACATAAAAGATGAGGTAATTACTCAGCCATAAAAAGAATGAAATAATGGCATTAGCAACAACATGGATGGACTTAGAGATTATCCTACTAAATGAAGTAATTCAAACAGAGAAAGACATAGACTATGATATCACTTAAATGTGGAATCTAAAAAATTATACAAATGAAGTTATTTAAGTTATTATTTACAAAACAGAAACAGACTCACACACCTAGAAAACAGATCTATGGTTACCAAAGGGGAAAGGTGGAGGGGAGGGATAAATTAGAAGTTTGGGACTGACATGTATACACTACTGTATATAAAATAGATAATCAACAAGGACCTGTTGTATAGCACAGGGATCTCTACAATACTCTGTAATAACCTATATGGGAAAAGAATCTGAAAAAGAATAAATATATGTATATGTACAACTAAATCATTTTGCTGTATACCTAAAACTAACACAGCATTGTAAGTCAACTATAATCTAATATAAAATGAAAATTTAAAAATAAGTAGATAAAAATACCTGCCTTTAAAAAAGTTTTAGGAGTATCAAGATCACATTGTAAGAAAGAGCATGTGGGATGAGAGATACTGTTTGATGCCAGTCTTTGTAAAATACAATCTCCTGCATCTTGATTATACTGTTTTTCCTTGCTTAGTAATTTTCTCCAGTCCCTGAAAGGACAAATTTTCTCTTTACCTACTATCTACCTTCCTTCCTTTTCTATTTTTCAGAAGTGAACCTTATGTGTTTGGTAATTTTCTGAAGAAGTGAAACTTAAAAAAAAAAAAAAAGGGTTGGATTCTTAGTAACTACAGCCAAAATCTAGGTACTCAGAATTAGTACCTAGACTGTAAATTGAAGATATAGGTTCTAAGTCTTTTCTGGGCTAGACAGCATGCTCCAAAACAGCTCTGTAACTAGTCTCTTCTCTGACAGATAAAGAATTCTGTGAACAAGCTTCTGAAGTCAGTGAAGCACAAAGTACAGACAGCGATGAGATAGTAACACCTGTATCTCAGAAATGTCCTAAGGCGGTAAGTACACTGGGGCAACCATTGTGCATGAGCCAAGATTGTAAGTAATGACAGTGTGCTCAATGGCCATGTGTGCGAAGTTCAAATCCCGTTGTAATGAACCAGATGGGAAACTCAAGTTATTTAGTTAAATTTACACTGTGATTGAGTGGAAGTCTGTTGATACAGGCAGATGAAAGGATCATTTTCTTGATTTGGCACTGACTTCAACACTTGTCTCTCTTCTTTGGATCCCTTACCTACTTCCTTCATTGTCAACTGCGATTTACCCAGCCTGTGACACCCCTTTCTTTAAATCTAATTTAAGAGAGCAGGTTTACTTTGGGAGGTAGAAGCTGGAAGAAAGGAAAGGATTCTTTCTGGGAGGGTTCAGAGAGATCATTGTTTCTGAAGGTTTTTATTCAACCTTTAAAACCTGTAATTACAATTATATATTAAGCATTTTGGCCTCAAATGTCTTTTGTAACTAATTGAGGCTGCGTGCACACACACACACACACACACACACACACGAATAAATATTCACAGGTATATTCACAGTCATTTTATTGGAATATTGTGAAGTTATAGATGAGATAGAAGACAATCACTCTAGCTGCTAGAATGCTCCCTTGTACATTTGTAGGCAGTCAATAAGTATTTGTTGAATGAGTGACTGAATGAAAGATTAAAATCTAGTTGAGAATTATGAACCTTATTAGAAACAATAAAGGAAAGCATAGGGCTATCTAGAATCAAGTGGATAGATTATGTGATATAACTCTAGGGTTTGTGAGAATTCCAAACAGGAAAATTACTGTTGCTTTTGTAGAGATCAGAAAACTCTTCCTTGAAAGTCAGAAATTGTACTGAGGTTTTATAGAAAAATAAAGGATATTGGAGTGGGGAGAAACAGTTCGAGTGCAGTAGACTCAGGCCGTTAATATGGCACATAGTAAAGTTTATTTTCTGAACTTTTATCTGTCATATCTTTTTTAGACACTATTTAACTAATATCTTGAGAAATGTTTGTAAGACAGATCAGAGCCATAGAATTAGAACTAGACCATAACACCTTAGCCATTATAAGGTGAAGAAGACCAGGTGATGTGTCCAGGATTATAGTGGTAGTTAATGAAAGAAGTGGAACTTGAGTCAAGTTTTCTAAACTGTGTACCTCTCAGATCAACCCAAAAAGCAGTCAGCTGATCAGCAAATTTGGAACCACAAGTCAGACAGGTGACATTAAAAATATTACCCTAGGACTTCCCTGGTGGTCCTGCGGTTAGGAACCCACCTGCCAGGGCAGGGGAGACAGGTTCGATCCCTGGTCAAGGAAGATTCCACTTGGTGCAGAGCAACTCAGCCCGTGTACCACAACTATTGACGTCCACGTACCTAGAGGCTGGGCTCCTCAACAAGCGAAACCACTGCGATGAGAAGCTGCACACCGCAGTCAAGAGTAGCCCATGCTCTCCACAACTAGAGAAAACACACACCCAGCAATGAAGACCCAACACGGAAATAATTAAAATAAAAATTACCCTAAATTAAATACTCATAAATGAGGTCTGTTAGAAAACCTTTATGTACCCAAAAATGTCACTTGATAAACTAAACATGAAATCTGATCATATTTAGTAAAAATTAGTGTTGTTATCAAGTTAAAACACAGACACATGTATACTTGATACCAGAAAAACTTTATCCAAAGTTCAGGTTTGGGAGGTCCCTGGTGGTCTCATGGTTAGGATTCCGTGCTTTTACTGCCATGGCTTGGGTTCAGTCCCTGGTGGGGAAACTGAGATCCCACAAGCTGCATGGTGCAGCCAAAAGAAAAAAAAGCCCAGGCTCTTGTTCAACTCATCCATAAGAATTTGGATGGGTAACACAAACCACAAAGGGAAAAAAAAAACCACACCAAGGGTGAGGATTAAAGAGAACAAAGGAGCAGGGGAAAATTTCTTAGTGGTCCAGTGGTTAGGATTGGCATTTTCACTGCTGTGGCCCAGATTCAATCTCTGGGCAGGGAACAAAGACCTCACAAGCTGTGCAGCATAGCCTGAATGAATACAATTTGTTTTAAATAAAAAAGAAGCCGTTTATTGAGACAGAAGCAAAAGTTACACACTCAGAGTACAGGCCTCCTCACAAATGAGGGGCATGCCACAAGATTTTTTGATCCCCCTCTTATCCTGTTTTTAGCCCTTTGAATGGATGGGAGTGTTTTTGATTAGGGGTGGAATATTCATTGAGGGGAGGGTTGAAGTATGGCCTGGACTGCCCCAGGTTGCATCAGCTCTGGGTCTCACGCATGTATTTCCTGAGGACATTGTACAAGTGCTCTAAGAACTGTTTTCCCTTACTAGTCAAGCCCCGCAGGGGAAGGTCAAACAGGGTTATCAGCAGGCTGTACATTTTTACTGTGTATGTGCCATGGTTTTCGTGGTCAGAGTTTCTTGTTCAGATGCTAAAAGTTTCTGTTTTAGATGCCATTTCTCCATGTTCATCGACTCATTAAGTGCAAAATAAGGACGTATATAGGCTGTCTTTGGGCCCAGCCTTGTCTTTCCTGCTTCATACTCAATCCTATTTGTATTTCAAAATAGCTGGGCATGAAAGATGAAAGAGGTTGAAGGTCCAGAGACAGTCCCTCTTCTGCCTGGAGTCAGCCACAGCAATGGAGGAGGCAAGAGAATATAATGTTTAGGAACATGGAAATGTGGTTCAGACAAAAGTGGTTTAGATCCAGCCTCTGCTATTAATATCTATACCATTTGGGGGGAGTTATTTAACCTCTGTTAGGATCTATTTCCTCGTCTGTAAAGTGGTAATATTTTTTAAATGGAAGTATAGTTTGTTTACAGTGCTTCAGGTGTATAGCAGTGTGATTCAGTTATATATATTCTTTCTCAGATTCTTTTCCATTATAGGTTATTACGAGATATTGAATATAGTTCCCTGTCCTACACAATAGGTCCTTGTTCTTTATTTTATATATAGTAGTTTATATCTGCTCACCACATACTCCTAATTTATCCCTCCCTCCTTTCCCCTTTGGTAACCCTAGATTTGTTTTCTATGTCCAAGTCTATTTCTGTTTTGTAAATAAATTCATTTGTATCATATTTTAGATTCCACATATAAGTCATGTCATATGACATTTGTCTGTTTCACTTCACTTAATATGATAATCTCTAGGTCCACCAACATTGTTGCAATGACATTATTTCCTTCTTTTTATGGCTGAGTGATATTCCATAGTGTATATATTCATGTGTTGTGCTGTGCTAAGTTGTTTCAGTCATGCCCAACCCTTTGCGACCCCATGGACTGTAGCCTGCCAGGCTCCTCTATCCATGGGGTTCTCCAGGCAAGAATACTGGAGTGGGTTGCCATGCCCTCCTCCAGGAGATCTTCCCGACCCAGGGATGGAACCTGCGTCTCTTGCATCTCCTGCATTGGCAAGTGGGTTCTTTACCACTAGCTCCACCGGGGAAGCCCAGTGTGTGTATACACACACATACCCACACACACGACATCTTTATTCGTCTGTTGATGGACATTTAGATTACTTCCATGTGTCTTGGCTATTGTAAATAATGCTGCTATGCATATTGAGGTTGTAAAGTGGTGATATATATGCCCACTTTATAGCCATGTGGAAAGATTTAAATAAGGTACTATATGATAAGGGTTTAATATAGTGCTTGGGACAAATTAAATGATAGTGATGATGATGTTGATGGTGGCAGCAGTCTATCTCCTCTCTGAAATACTTTAGTTTCCCAACGCAAGCTTCTATGGTGTGGTAGTGGCCCCTACAAGGAAGGACAAAGCCCTAAGTGGAGGAGATCCAGACAGAGGGGTGTCATTTCCCTTCTAACTGCCATGTCAGTTGTATAGGTTACAACTTTAAGAACTTTCACAAATGTCTTTCCCTTGTACTGATAAAAAAAAAAAAAAAAGCAAAGCAGTCATAGTACATTTGGGTCTTTAACTCCCTCTCTTAAAGTCCAGAATTAGAAGAGTTCCTTTATCATGGGCTGTGAGTAGGACTGTTCCAGAGTAGGCTCTATTAATCAGCACAAGGTCCCTAAAGGCCTTCTGTACTTCCAAGAATCCCCAGGAAGGGATCTCAATCCAAACCTCATGGTTTCCTCCATATGAAGTTCTGTTCCTGATCTCAGGAGTCAGTCTCCTACTGAGTGGACCATACAGCTAACCCCCCGCCACATCCTTTTATTAACATCTCCTAATGAGAAAGGAGCAATTATTTCCATTTGCTCTATGGCCTCAGATTACTGTCTCTTAACCGTAGTGTATATAGTATATATCAAGAACCAATAAAATAGAGGCTTATTCTATTTTCTTATACTCTTAAGTTCAGGAATTGAAGATTTCTTGACCCGTTATGTGTATTAATTAGTTTTAGGAACTCTGCCCTTCTCTTCCCTCAAAATTAGCTAGCACACTTGAATAAGCCAAAGGTAGCTATCTGTCTGTCACTAATGCTGAATAACTAACTGCTCTTAGGGGTTCTGCTAGTAAGTTCAAATGAGTTAATATATATTTCAGTTGTTAATATGGTTAATACTACTAGTTACATATATAATATTACTAATTATATAAATGACATCAAACTATAGATCAACTGTACATATTATTATTTTACAGTGCTTTTTATTTTGAAATAATTATAGCTTTGTAAACAGTTACAAAAAAAATGTATGGAGAGGTACCATGTACTCTTCGTCCAGTTTCTCTCATTATTCAAAACAGTTTTGGTCCATATTATTCTGAAACATGCATTTTTCTTTTTTGAAAAAGTTTTTCTTTTTTAAAAGATAGCTCAATTGGTAAAAAAAAAATCTGCCTGCAATGCAGGAGACCCAGGTTCAATTACTGGGTCAGGAAGATCCCCTGGAGAAGGGCATGGCAACCCACTCCAGTATTCTTGCCTGGAGAATCCCATGGACAGAGAAGCCTAGATGGCTACAGTTTATGGGGTTGCAAGAGTTGGATATGGCTTAGTGAACTAAATCACATCACCACAAGGGATAGCTGTATAATAGTTTATAAGTTTCAGGTGTATAACAGTGATTCACAATTTTTAAAGGTTATTATCCATTCATAGTTATTATAAAATATTGGCTATATTCCTTGGCTTATACAATATATCCTTGCAGCTCATTTATTTTATACATAGTAGTTTTACAGCTTAATCCCTACTCCTATCATGCCCCTCCCTGCCTTCCCCTCCCCACTGGTAACCAGTAGTTTGTTCTCTTATCTATGTGTCTCTTTCTGTTTCATATATTCACTAGTTTGTTTTAACTTTTATTTTTTAATTGAAGTATAGTTGATTTACAATGTTGTGTTATTTTCTGTATAGCAAAATTACTCAGTTATACATATATTCAGTTCCATTCAGTTCAGTCACTCAGTCATGTCTGACTCTTTGCGGCCCCATGGACTGCAGCACACCAGGCCTCCCTGTCCATCACCAACTCCCAGAGCCTACTCAAGCTCATGTCTGTTGAGTCAGTGGTGCCATCCAACCATGTCATCCTCTGCTGTCCCCTTCTCCTCCAAACTTCAGTCATTCTCAGCATCAGGGTCTTTTCAAATGAATCAGTTCTTCACATTAGGTGGCCAAATATAAAAAAGAATGTGTATATACACATTCTTTTTTATATTCCTTTCCATTATGGTTTATCATAGGATATTAAATATAGTTCTCTGTGCTATAGCTTAGGACCTTTCTGTTTATCCTTTCTGTATGTAATAGCTTACATCTGCCAACCCCAATCTCTCACTCCATGGCTCCCCCAACCCTCTCCCCCTTGGCAGCCATGAGTCTGTTCTCTATGTCTGTGAGTCTGTCTCCTAGACAGATTCATTTGTGTCATGTTTTAGATTCCACATATAAGTGATATCATATGGTATTTGTCTTTCTCTTTATGACTTACTTCACTTAGTATGCTAGTCTCTAGTTGCATCCATATAATCCTCACAGGACCCGAGTCCTTCAACAAGTAATCATGGAGTTACTGTCTTATTATTTGCCAGGCTCTGTGGCTGCAATATGGTAAATAAGATAGACTTAGTCCTTTCCTCTTTGAATCTTACATTCTACTGAGTGAAAACAGATATAAATCACTGAACAAACAGATACTTGCTGATTCTAAATACTACAGAGAAAGCAAATTGGGTGATATAATAATAATGGGGAAAGTTGAGTTAAATGAGGTAGTAAGGAAAGAATTCTCTGAGGAGTGGACATTTCAGCTGATCTGAGGAATGAGAAGGGAATCCTTGGGGGATAATTACTTCAGGTAGAGGAAATGGCAAATGTAAAGCCTTGAGGTAGCAAATAGTTTGGTTCATCTTAGGCAGAGGTCTCCACCCTTTTTGGTAGCAAAAACTTGGTTTCGTGGAAAANAATTTATATTCTCACCCTGTAATGGCTTTTTTTTTCTCACAGTTTTATGAAAACTTTCCCCCCAACATCCTCAGTTTAATGGAATGAGAACAACTGTGAGGGAAAGAGTCAAAGTAATTTTTAAAAATTTAGATCTCGTTGACATGGAGAGATAACAAAACAAATTAGTGGTATGTTAGATATTAGGTCTAAAGGGGTTAGCAAAACAGAGTTAGGGTTCTAGAACCTATGGAGCTTACCGTCTATGAAGTGCTGTCCAACAGAATTATAATGTGAGCCACCAATATAATATAAAGTTTTCTATCTAGTGTCCACATTAAAAGTATAAAAAGAAACAAGTGAAATTAATTTTAATAGTGTATTTTATTTAATCTAATATATCCAAAGAATCACCATTTCCACATCAAATCAATATATAATAATTATTGAGATATCTTATATTCCTTTTTAATGCAAAGTCTTCAAAATTGTGCATGAATTTTATACTTATAGCGTATCTCAATTCAGATTAGCCACGTTTCGAGTGCTGAGTAGCCACATGTGGCTAATGGCTATCATGTCATAACTGTGGTACAATGTTTTCCAACTGTGAGTTGACATCCTGTAGTGGAAAACGAAATAAAAATAAGGGATCCAGCTGGAACTAAAACAAATAAACCAAAAACTGAGATAGAATAGAATACAAAATAATAGTTTGTATTACATGTAGTAAGAGAGGATGTTGGCCATGGCAGCAAGTCTGAAGCAGAGCTCAAAGAGCTGGAGTGCGGGGTGGTCTGCTCTGTGCCCTGTACTTGGCAGGGTGTCGATGGGAGCCCAGGGAGCACTGGGCAGCCCTTTGCTTTAGTGGCTAAAACAGCCACTCAATTGGCAGTTCTCTAAGGATCTAACTGCGGGAAAGAGCTGGATTGTTGTTTGTCAAGAAAGTTTAAGAAAACAATCTTTTCTCAGAAAGTTTCTTGATTCTTTCTGTCTGTGGTGATGGCTGAGAAAAGCTGGTCTGGAGAAATGATTTTCTGGACTGGGAGATAGAGGACCTGGATTCTCTTTACCAATTTCCCATGACTAGCAGTGCCAATTCAGCCAAGTGGTCTCTTGGTGCCAGCTTTAGGTGCCTGTAAATTGATTCTCAAGAAGGAGTAGTATGTTAGGTGGAGTGTGCCTGTGATTACAGAGTAGTGTGTTCATTAAATGGAATATAAACACTGGCACCACTGACTTATAGGAAATGAATATTTTCCTTGTCAGAGTTCAGAGAAGATGTGCGTTGAAATCGTCTCCCTGGCCTTCTACCCAGAGGCTGAAGTGATGTGTGATGAGAACGTGGAACAGGTGTACGTGGAATACAAGTTCTACGATCTGCCCTTGTCAGAGACGGAGACTCCAGTATCCCTGAGGAAACCGAGAGCAGGAGAAGAGATCTACTTCCACTTCAGCAAGGGTGCGGTGTCCCTCGTGATCAGCGGGAGGGGAAGCTGACAGTTGTGTAGCCTGAGGCATCCGAACTGTTCTGGGCTTCTGCTGGGGTGGATCTAACCGTTTTCTTTTATTTATCAAAGTAATGTATGCATATGGTTTAAAAATATCAAATAGGCCTAGAAAGATTTTTTTTATTAAAATAAAGCAGTCCTTTGCTCCATTCATTCTCTACAAATCACTCCCCCTCACCCCTCTCTGACCCCTTCCTCAGTCCACCACTCCATTTTTCACTTTTTCTGCTATTTCTTCTTTCTCCTGTTATTTAACCCCGTGTTTCTGAGGAAATGTTTCTTTTGTAGTTTCCTGATTCAGTAATTTTAGACATTATCTGCTGACTTCCTATCTAGGCACATAAAATTTGTCTCTCTTACATCACATCCATGTTCTCTTTCTCCCATACAGTTGGATCATAATTTTATTTAACTTTTAAGTAGTTCTAATTGTTTCTATTATTGTGACTATGCAAATATTCTTATAGAGCCAAGTTGCACACCATGATATAATTTCTTTTTTGTATCATTGTGGTCTCAATTTTTCATTTTCTTTTTTTTGTTGTTGTTATACCTGTTTTGATTCTTTCTACATCCTCCAGCAGATTTTTAAATTTTAAAATAAACAACCTACCATATAATTTATCTTTTTTTTTTTCCTGAAGCTATCTCTTTATCTTCTTGTTCTTCTCCTCTACTATCCCAGTGCTGCCCCATTTGGAGAGTTAATTCTCTTTTATTACTGCATTTATTATCTCCTGGGTCCTAAGTCACCCTCTATCTGATTTATTATATTCTAATGGATCATGTTTTTGAGTAGCTTTTAAAGAAAGAGTACATTGGAAGTAAATATTTTGAGAAAGTCTTGCATGAAATCTCTATTCATGCAAATAAATCTATTCTCAAATAAATCCACATATTTATTTGATTGATGATTAGACCAAGTATAAAAATCTATGTTGAAAACTTTTTCATTCAGAATTTCAAAGCTGTTGGTCCATGATCTTCTAGGTCCAGACCTGGAGTCTAGCTCTTATATGAAAACTACCTCCTACCTCCCCAGAAGACTTTAATATTTTCTCTTTATTTTTAGTGCTCTTAAATTTCAGAATCATGTGCATATATTTTCTTTAATTGTTCTGGCCATTCAGTGGGCTCTTTAAATCTGGAAGCTCATGGCTTTTAGTTCTAGGAAACTTGTTTTCCTTTCTCTGATAACTTTGTTCCCCCTACATTTTCTCATTTTCTTAGTAGAATTTTGGATCTTCCAAATTGATCCTCTGATTTTATCACTTTCCTCTGTAACTCTACCTCTGCTTTTTTCTTTATTTCTCTTTTATTTTTTTGACAGGGGTAGGAGATACTTCCTTAATTTTATCTTCCAGTCATTGACTAGGTTTTTTCTTTTTTTTTTTTAATTTCTAATAGCTTCTTCTCATTCTTTATTTTTCAACCCCTTATCCCACCCCTGACCTTTAAAAAAGTGCATCCTATCCCTGCATCATAGTTTGGCACATGACCCAAACTCCCATCTTGCCTTCCCATCCCCCTTGTGGCCTTCTTTCATCCTTTCATTTGCCTCATGGTCCTTAATAGCAGCTGCAGAAAGGAAGAATACCTTCAAGATTTCACACAGCCCAGTGGGCAGAACTCCATCATGTGGCCAAACCTAGCTCAACTAGAGACTAGCAAACATAGGCTAATTTATTTGAGGCTGCAACAGTCTTGTGTAAAAATGAGGAGGAAGAGGGGAATGGATGTTGAATCAGGCACCTTGAGTTGAACCTACCTCAAAACCCAAATTTCTAGGCAGCCCTAAAAAAAAAAAGCCAGTCTCCTAGAATTCTTCCAGTTGAGGAGTGGGGGGAGCACATTTATCTTGGCCTTTGGCAGAACAGCTTAAGACATGGATTTTAAGGCTTCCTTTCTATCAGTACTCGAAGCACTTAAAGGGCCACATAGTAAATATTTTAGGCTTTGTGGGCCAAACAGTCTCTGTCACAACTCTTCAACTCTATCATTATAGTTGGAAAGCCACCACACAGGAAAGAGATGGCTGTGTCCAATAAAACTTTATTTATGAAAACAAGTAGCTGGCTCCTGGGCACCCATGCTTGCCAGGTGTCTGGTTTAAATCACTGTTTTGCACATACCATTTATAAAAGTCTTAGTGCCCAAATAGCAACAGTATATGATTCTTTTCTTTTCTCCCACTTACCCTTAATACAGTGATAGATCTGGACCCAGTGGAGCAAAAAGAACGGAGGCAGTTTCTGTTCACCATGCTGATTGGACAAGATCCTGAGCAAGGACAGTAAGCATCTGCTTCCTATTTCTAAAGACAGGAAACATCACACAAGAATTCAGGAGTTTAAGTCTGGTTTTGTGCTGATGTGGAGTATTTTAATAACTTCTTTCATATTAATATTCTAATTAATTTCTCATCAACTTGAGTAATTTATGCTTGTGACTGACTACCTGATAAATTATATAATCTCATAGGATTAGTTCATTTTTCACCCATGCCAGCCTCTGATAAGCGCTTTTTTTTTTTGAGTCAGCAATTGACGTCAACACTCAGTGCCCCCTACAGAAAGGACAAACCGCCTTGACACTCTAGAATAATTTGATTCATTTCTTGCAAACACAGTACCATTGTTAGCTTACCAAATATTATGCCTTTATAATAGCAATTTTATATTTTGAGTTAAAAATGATTTCTCTACAGGAATACTTTGAAGTAAAATTTGAGTCTACTCTTAAGTTTTAGGAAAGCCGAGCATCATATTCCTATAATCTGAGGAGCCCTCCTTTTAGAGGTTCCAGATGAAATGTATTGGATATACATAGACTGAAAATTTTCTTGTTGTCTAGCAGAATTTTGAAAATCAAATTTATATGAACATCTATTTTTTGTTTGTTTTTGTCAGAGTCTGGCAAGCTTACCTCCTTTCCATGTGTGTGTGTAAGAGCTAGTATGGGACTGGTGTTCTAATCCATTACTTTTCTAAAAGCCCAATGAAAGTGAAAATGAAAGTCACTCAGTCGTGTCCAATCCTTTATGACCCCATGGACTATACAGTTCATGGAATCCTCCAAGCTAGAATACTGGAGTGGATAGCCTTTCTCTTCTCCAGGGGATCTTCCAAACCCAGGGATCAAACCCAGTTCTCCTGCATTGCAGGCTGATTCTTAGCCAGCTGAGCCACAAGGGAAATCCAAGAATACTGGAGTGGGTAGCCTATCCTTCTCCAGGGGAATCTTCCTGACCCAGGAATTGAACTGGGATCTCCTGCATTGCAGGTGGATGCTTTACCAACTGAGCTATCAGGGAAGCCCAGAAAAGCCCATAGTGATAGAATGTTGCCTTTGTAATCACACAGACTTGGTTTTTAATCTTGACTCTTTCAGTTACTAGCTCTATGATGTTTGAGATAATACTTAACTTGAAGGCTCCAGAGAGGATGCTGCAGAAATAACGTAGTTTCCCTAAGGCACTCGGTATTGCATGCAGCAAGTGGTGATGCAAGTTATCATCTGTTTCCTGGGAAAGCTGAGGTGGAGGAGTCAGCATTATCCCTTTGCATTGTTGAAGTTCTTAGTACTGATACAGAAACATAACTACAAATACATATTGCTTAGTAGCCATAAATGCATCACTTTTAGAATTTCTTTTCAGCTTCTCATATTTAAATTTGTGATTTAAAATGCTTGAATTTTTGGTCCTATTCTTGCTCCCGTAGAACTATGGGCCACCAATATTTGTTTTGAAAAAGGGAATAGGAATATGAAATATCCAGAAGAGGCAAATCCAGAGAGATAGAAAGGAGATTAGTGGTCACCAGAACTGAGGGAGAGTATGGGGAGTGACTGGTTAAGGGTGTAGGTTTCATGGTGGTGAACATGATCTAGAATTAGATCATGGTGATGCTTGTACAACATTATGGTTATACTAAAAAAAGACCCACTGAATTGTACACTTTACAATGGTTAAAATGGTGAATTTGTGTCATGTAAATTTTACCTAAAAATTTTAATAGGTCTGTTTCTGGAATTCATTTATTCTTTGCTAGACTAATACCGTCAGCTTCCTGTATCTGCAGGTTCCACATCCATGGAGTCAACTAACAATGGATGAAAATATTTGAAAATACAATTCTAGATTTTAGGATGTTCCAAAAAGCAAAATTTAACTTTGCCATGTCCTGGCAGCTATTTACTTAACATTTACGTTGTATTTACAACTATTTATAATAGTATTTACATTGTATTAGCTATAAGTCATCTAGAGATGATTTAAATTATATTCTATATGCAAATCCAATAGCATTTTATACAAAGGACTTGAGCATTTGTGGATTTTAGTATCTGAGGTGGGTTCTATAATTGTTAATTGCTCACTGCTTGGGAGGAACTGTGTTATGATCTTTACTGTATCATCTTCCAAGGTTTACAACTCTTACTTTTTTATATTCATTTTGTAATTCTGTATTGTTTCCTTTACTCTGCTCAGGCTTGGTATAAAACTGTTATTTACAAATATAAAAACCTTTTCTAATTTCCATAATCTTTTTTTGTGTAACACCTCCACTGCCCATCTAATCATTCAGCAAAGCTGTAAACCATCTTACAAGGAAATGTATCTTTCAGTAGTTTTGAGACAATTTAACCAACTACTTTACCTCATGTCTTAGTTCCCTCCAAGCCTGTTGTTATTTAAGTCATACCAATTTCTCAGTCTTTTGCCATTGCATTCTTATAAGATGGAGGAAGAGTGATTCAGGGAATACAATGTATAATTTATGATTACTTTTATCCCTTTTTTTTAAGCCTAAGTGTATCAGTAGTACTGAGTTAAATGGATATTTTCTCCTTTAGTTTAAAGTTTACAGTAGTAAGTGATCCTATTGAGGAGGAAAAGAAAGAATGTCAAGAAGTAGGCTACGCATATCTGGAACTGTGGCCAATCCTGGTATCAGGAAGAGACGTCCTAGAGCAAGATCTAGACAGTGAGTCATACATTTTGGTGCTCCTCAGTTCTATTTATGTATAAGGGAATAATCCTAATAATGAGTATTTTTGACCTTTAATACATACTTACTACATAGTTGATGAGACAATTTGGATTGAAACCCCTACTGCTGTTTTTCTAAATCATGCGTCAGTTGTATATCTTATCCCATACACCTCCTGGCAACTAGCATCCATTATGAATCTCCTCCAGTATTTGAGACAGGGAGCTTTTGAAAAGACCCATTGTTTTAATTTCAAGCAAGTTTAAACAGCCTTTCTGACCTTCCTTATCCAATCTGTTCTGAAACTGTCTACTATGCAGTTCCCCTAACCCATCCACAATGGTCATCTTTGATTCTAATGTCTTCAGTCCCAACATTAAGTGTTCTGAATCTGTCCCTACCTCCACTGTTGAAACTTCAGAACCCTTTTCTCTCCTGAATTATTTCAATAACCTCATTAACTACCTTCCCTGATTTACTCATGCCCCCTTAGAATATATTCCCCAGAGTGGAGTCACTTTTTGGAACCCAAATAAAAAACTGTCATTTCTAATACCTTCAATTAAAACCACATTTCTTACAAGACAAATGGCCTGTTATGATCTAGATCCTGCTTATCAGTAGTTTAATTTCTGCCATCTCTTATAGTTTTTCAAACTTGTTTTCAAATCTTGGCACATGCTGTACATGCTTAGAGTATCTTTTACTTTTTGAAGATAAAGCGATTGTCTCCAGAAGGCCTTTTCTGATTCTTCCATTCTGGATGAGGTGTCATGTTTGTGTTCCCAAAGTACACTGAGTTTTCATCCCAGCACCAGCTATACTATATTGTAATGATTGTTTTCCATCGTCTCCCATCAGGTTGAATCCCACTAAAATAGGAGGTAGTAGCCTTGTGTAGTATCCCCCCAGCACCTAATGTGGAAAATATTTTAATATTTAATATAAAATATTAAGTATTTAAGTGTTTTTCAGTTGAATGATACAGATGTCTGGTGTTTCTTTTTCCTTTCTCCACAGTTGTTAGCCCTGAAGATCAGGCCACCCCCATAGGAAAGCTCAAGGTGTCCCTTCAAGCTGCTGCTGCCCTCCATGCTATTTACAAGGAGATGACTGAAGATTTGTTTTCATGATGGAACAAGTGCTAGTCCATTCTAAACCCTGAGGGAACCATAGTAAAAAGTCTCTTATAAAGTAACTTGCTCTACCATGAATTTGGTTTACTGTGATGTCTCAACTTAATCATGAAAGTTCAGCATGATAAAAGTTTGTAATGCTAGCTGGATAAAGAGAATTAATCTCTATGTCTTAGCACTTTTCTAGGACAGAAGCAGGCTTGCTTTTAGGAACTGCAAAAGAACTGTCACAGGTGAATTCATAAAACAGCAACAACAACAAAAAAAAAACCACAGTTTATTTATCTTTTAGTTTTTCCAAAATTGAAAATATCAAGTCCTACTGCTAAGGAGAAAATAAACAAACAAATGAACAAAATCCGAGACCCCTCCCCCCTCTTCTCTTAAAGTCACAGAACACAGAAGGAACTGCAGTGGGACAGGTGGGTGCAGAGAACCAGGAGGGAGAGGATGGCAAGATAAACTCCCCCAATACTTAAAAAGCTGTTCAACAGAAACTGTGATAAATACAGGACAATGCAAGACAAGTAAAAACAAGGAGCAGCAGTGACGAGAGGCTGTGTTGTAGATGTGGCCTCCCTTCCTCTTCTCTTTTCTCATCAGGGTGTTCTAGGCCCAAGGCATGACTTGCCCCTTCCAGATCTAAATGTTGACTCCTTTGAGCCTCCTTCTAGATTTCACTAGAAGCAGTACATGAGGCACAGCCATTCTTTCCTCATACATCAGAAATATCTTGATATAAACTAAAATGGAAAAGAATCTGAAAAAATGTATGTGTGACATTTTAGTTTGTAACAAGACATTGTTCCCTGTGCTATACACGAGGGCCTTATTTATCTATTAGACGTTAGTTTCATTCTGCTCATCTCAAACTCCTAATTTATCCCTCCCCTCGCCCGAGCTATGTTTGTTTTTTTTTTTTCTTTTTTTAAAAAAAAAACCACAGTTTATTTATCTTTTAGTTTTTCCAAAATTGAAAATATCAAGTCCTACTGCTAAGGAGAAAATAAACAAACAAATGAACAAAATCCGAGACCCCTCCCCCCTCTTCTCTTAAAGTCACAGAACACAGAAGGAACTGCAGTGGGACAGGTGGGTGCAGAGAACCAGGAGGGAGAGGATGGCAAGATAAACTCCCCCAATACTTAAAAAGCTGTTTAACAGAAACTGTGATAAATACAGGACAATGCAAGACAAGTAAAAACAAGGAGCAGCAGTGACGAGAGGCTGTGTTGTAGATGTGGCCTCCCTTCCTCTTCTCTTTTCTCATCAGGGTATTCTAGGCCCAAGGCATGACTTGCCCCTTCCAGATCTAAATGTTGACTCCTTTGAGCCTCCTTCTAGATTTCACTAGAAGCAGTACATGAGGCACAGCCATTCTTTCCTCATACATCAGAAAAGAAACAATGGTAATCTTGCTCCCACCACTGTACCATGTGTGAATCTGTAAGGAGATGACACCGAGCCAGGGAGTGTCACTGCTTCCATGTCTTCCAAGGCAGCAGAAGTACCTCAGAATCTACCCGAGGCAAGAAAGCAGGCGAACTCAGACGGAGATACCAGCCTGGTCAGCCTATCTAAGCTGTATCACTCACACCATCAGCAAATGCCAAGAACCTTTTCTTGAGTACTGCACAGATGTACCTTAAAGAGATGTGAGGAAGGTCATGGCAGGAGGGTAGGATGGAGGACTGAATCTGCTGGTCAAGAGCCATGGTACAGGCAGGCAAAGATCACCGTGTACCAACGTCTTGGAAATATAGCTTTGAGACATCAAAGAATAAGATGTCAGAAGCCAACAATGTCCTGGCAGAAGGTGACAGGAAGAGAGAGGAATGAAACGGTATTTATTAACAGCGGAAGCCTCTGCCCTTCTTCAAGAACACCTCCTCCCTTGCCATCTGGATGGGGCCATTGGCACGTGTCCTGGTGGGCCTGGAATTCCCCGAGTAGCTTGGTCCACACAAATGGCCCCCTAAACCCATACACAAATGGCAAAACTTCAAAAGAAAAAAAAAAAGGAAAAATACAGTTTCTATGTCATGTAAAATTTTCAGGGATTGGCTGTAGGAAGAATGGAGCTGAGGGCCAAAGTTCTGAAGTTACTTCCTCTTTTTCTTGGGAGGCGCAGAGCTGTGTCTGGAACCTCGGTTAGAGCCTCGGCCTGAACTGTGCACAGATGCCTTCCTCTTCCGGCTCATACTTCGACTCTGTTCTTCTTCTTCCTCATAGCGGCTTTCACGGTCAGCTGAACAGAACGAGGCACTAGTTAGCTAGGTGTTAGCTTTAGGTATCTAACGCTGTTGTACACAGCATGAAGAGAACATACTTTGGAGTCAGACTTAACTTTAAATCTTTCCTCAGTTGCTTATTAGTTGTATGATCTTGGGCAAGTACTTAACCTTTCTGAGACTTTATTTACTTATAAAATGGAAAACTGTTTTAGGCTTAAAGGTAATCTATGCAAAGGACCTATCACTATGCTTGGGCTATACAGTACAGTACTATTTAACTTATATTTGGTATTTGGTTTCAGAGTAGTTAAAACTAGTACTACAAAAACATTCTTAACCTGGAAGAGGGCCATAAAGCTAGACTACTATCTGACTTAGATTTGGAAACTGAACAGCCTAATTTTGGAGTCGGATAAGACTATCCCGCCTAAGGACCCACTGTGGGGGCTGAGTAGATGAAAAGAGCCTCCAAGTCGGCAGAATCGTTCCCCCTGAAGAGTACGGATTCACACCAGACCTCATTTGCTTTTCTGGTCGATGAAGCTGTAGCTGTGACTCCACATCAGTTTTACACTTATGTTACTTTTATCAGGCAAATAATCTCTCAAAATACTGAAATTTGTGCCTCAAAAAATAAAATTTACCTTTTCGGGCTTCTTCCTCCAGTTCGTCCCAATCCTTTCCACTCTCTTCTTCACTGCCCAATGATTCCTTGGAATAATCTGGAATAATATTAAGCATGATTTACTAGACTGGAAATGGAATGGAATGATAAAATTATTCCCTTCAAAACCCTGTATAAATTGCCTAAGGTTAGGAAGTCATGAACACTTGTCCCTATAAAGACTCACCTGATTCTTCAGCTTCTGATGAATAATCTTCATCACTGTCCTCCTCCTCCTCTTCATAGTCTTCCTCTGAAGGATTAAAAGTCTCATCTTCGATTTCAGACTCGGAATCCCCTTCCTCAGCATCACTCCCCTGGTGAGTTGAAGCATAATACTAAATACTGGGTGTTTTTTTAAAAATTTACTTCATTAATAACCTAATGAATTAATTCAATCCACTGAGTGCACCAGCATTATTTCTATTTTATATGAAAAATGAAATAAAAAATACCTAAACCTCTGAGTAACACAGGAGATAAAAAAAGACTTAATTAAAATTACTAGTAAGATGTAATAATTAGACAACTTTTGCAAGACGATTTGAAGTATTTTCTCTGAAAACTAAGAAATTCATTCAAACAATAGTTTTTGTAATCTCAAAGAAACCTTGTGAGTGGCTACCAATGCCCAATTAATTTATCATTTGCCTGTAAAACTAACTTGAAAAGAAACCCCACACTCACGCACCTCACCCTCAGGTTCCAGGAAAGACCAGCCACCTTGTTCAAAGAAGCCCTCAGGATCATCAACAATGGTCTTCATAATTTTAGTCCAGTTGAGGGACTGTACTCCTTCTGTGTACTTTAGGTCACAGGAACTAAGAAAAATAACATTATGAAGTAAAAAAATCAATCCTCCATACTTGGCTTTGGCTTTTTTTTTTTTTTTTGGTTTTGGCCATGCCAAAAGAGCAAAAGAGGAGTCTTAACCACTGGACCGCCAGGGAAACCCCACCTGTATACTTTGTGAGAACATCCAGTGTCACGCTGGTCATTAGCATCTTGGAAGAGCAGATACCCTTTTCATATGTGAGAGCAGGTACTCTTTGCACTGTCCCACCAGAACATACCCCAAAACAGCTGATATCTGGTCTCCCAGAGCACTAGCCCTCACAACAGAACCCCATTTTTTAAAAAAAACTACTTAACGTGCCTTATGTTAAGCAATGTTCAAATGACATTTATCCACTTTTGTTGAGGTGAACAATCAATATGTGTGGGGAAAAAAAGAAATCCAGAACACAGTAATGTCAGGGCCATAGAAAGAAACCGTTAGCATAAAACCTGAGTGTGTGCTTAGTCACTCAGTTGTGTTCGACTCTTTGCAACCCCATGGACTGCAGCCCTCCAGGTTCCTCTGTCTTAGCGGGTTCTCCAGGCAGGAATACTGGAGTGGGTTGCCATGCCCTCCTCTAGGGGATTTTCCAACCCAGGGGTCAAACCCAGGTCTCCTACGTAGCAGGCAAATTCTTTACCATCTGCGCCACCAGGGAAGCCATAAAACCTGAGGTTCCAGCATAAATCCATTATGGGCACAATCATATACACTGAAGCTTTTGCTTCTAGCTATGATGGAGGTGACAAGGATTAGATTTACCTTTTCACCCAAACAACCAGAAAACTGAACAAAGTATGGAACAACAGTTTTCAAACACTGGATAATAAGCAGCACTAGACTAAAATACCTATGGAACTTCACAATGGAATGAACAGCAACAGGAATGGTTAAATATGTAAGTAAGACTTTCTCCTCATTTTGTAAATTAAGGAATAGCTGTTTTGAAGCTAAAATAATGACAGTTGTGGAAATCATAGCATATTAAAAGCAAAGTGTATGGTAATAATAACAGAAAGAATAGAAGAAAAGAAATGAAAGCATAAGAACCTTCTAACAACAACAACAAAAAAGAACCTTCTAACAGACATAGTATATTATCTGAACGCAGACTCTGACAAGTTAGAGGTGTAGCTAATCAGCAAATTAGGAAGATGATCGTAAAGATTCATAAAATTAAAAGCAGGCATAAAAAGGAGAAAAGCTTATCTTTGACAAAGGAGGCAGAAATAAACAATGGAGAAAAGACAATCTCTAACAAGTGGTGCTGGCAAAACTGGTCAACCACTTGTAAAAGAATGAAACTAGAACACTTTCTAACACCATACACAAAAATAAACTCAAAATGGATTAAAGATCTAAATGTAAGACCAGAAACTATAAAACTCCTAGAGGAAAATATAGGCAGAACACTCTCTGACATAAATCACAGTAAGATCCTCTATGACCCACCTCCCAGAATATTGGAAATAAAAGCAAAAATAAACAAATGGGACCTAATTAAACCTAAAAGCTTTTGCACATGAAGGAAACTATAAGCAAGGTGAAAAGACAGCCTTCAGAATGGGAGAAAATGATAGCAAATGAAACAACCAACAAAGAATTAATCTCCAAAATATACAAGCAGCTCAATACCAGAAAAATAAACCACCCAATCAAAAAATGGACCAAAGAACTAAACAGACATTTCTCCAAAGAAGACATACAGATGGCTAACAAACATATGAGAAGATGCCCAACATCACTCATTATCAGAGAAATACAAATCAAAACCACTATGAGGTACCATCTCATGCTGGTTGGAATAGCTGTCATTAAAAAGTCTACAAAAAAAAAAAGTCTACAAACGATAAAGGCTGGAGAGGGTATGGAGAAAAGGGAACCCTCTTACACTGTTGGTGGGAATGCAAACTAGTACAGCTGCTATGGAGAACAGTGTGGAGATTCCTTCAAAAACTGGAAATAGAACTGCCATATGACCCAGCAATCCCACTGCTGGGCATACACACCGAGGAAACCAGATCTGAAAGAGACACGTGCACCCCAATGTTCATCGCAGCACTGTTTACAATAGCCAGGACATGGAAGCAACCTAGATGTTCACTGGCAGACAAATGGATAAGAAAGCTGTGGTACATATTCACAATGGAATATTACTCAGCTATTAAAAAGAACGCATCTGAGTCAGTTCTAATGAGGTGAATGAAACTGGAGCCTATTATACAGAGTGAAGTAAGTCAGAAAGAAAAACACCAATACAGTATATTAACACATATATATGGAATTTAGAAAGTAATGACAACCTTATATGCAAGACAGCAAAAGAGACACAGATTAAAAGGTAGACATTCTCAGAATGGATTAAAAACAAACCAAGGCATGAAAGCAACCTCACTGTCCACCAGCAGAGGAACAGATAAAGAAAATGTGGTACATATATACAATGGAATACTATTCAGCCATTAAAAAGAATGAAATAATGCTACTTGCAGCAACATGGATGCAACCAGAGACTGTCATACTGAGTGAAACAAGTTAGAGAAAGAAATAACATATGACATCCCTTTAAATGTGGAATCTAAAAAGACATGATACAGATAACGTACAAAACAGACTCACAGACTTAAGAGAACAAACTTATTATGGCTGTCGGGGGGAAGAGATAGTTAGGGAGTTTGGGATAGACATGTATACATTGCTGTATTTGAAATGGATAACCAACAAGGACCTACTATATGGTGCATGGAATTATGCCCAATGTTCTATGGCAGCCTACCTGGGAGGGGAGTTTGAGGTAGAATGGATACATGTATATCTATGGCTGAATCCCTCTGCTGTTCACCTGAGCTACTACAGCACTGTAAACTGGCTATGCCCTAATACAAAATAAAAAATTAATAAAGCTAGAAGTCTATAGTAATATCACATTATGCAGATTTCAAAACAAGGACTATTACCAGAAATAAGAAAGGACATTTCATAATGATGGAGAATAAAATTCAAAAAATTGATAAACCTCTAGACAGACTGACCAACAAAAAGAGGAAACTATCAATATCAGGAATGAAAGGGGTAAAAGTATTGCACAAATACCAAAGTCGACAGCTTTGCAAAATAAACCAGTTTGTTGAAAGATACAAGTTGAATTTATGTAGAATAGTCAAAATAATAATAGCCAACTTTGAAAAGGAACAAAATGGGAGGACTTACACTACCTGATTTCAAGATTCATTATAAAGCTACAATATTCACTACAGGATCAGTAAGCACACACATAAACCAATGGAACAGAAAACACTATCCAGAAATAGAGCCTTTCCTACACATTCTTTTTTTAAACAAACATGCCAAGTAATTCAATGGTAAGGGATAATCTTTTCAACAAATGATAACTAGAATAACTGGCTTCATATACACAAAGTACAAACCTTCATCCTTACACCACAGTAAAAAAAAAATTAACTCAAAATGAATCAGATACAAGACCTAAACCAATGGAACTCTAGAAAATAGAAACTACTGTAAAAAAATATATGCAAAATGTATTTGATGAGGGACTTTATTTAGCCTAAAAAATTCTTAAAATTCAGTAGTAAAGCAATCTGATGCTTAACATGGGCAAAAAACATGAATATACTTCATCAAAGTATAGAATGACACACATATATGAAAAAATGCTCAAAAGCATCACTAATCTTGGAAATGCAAACTGAAACCACAATGAGAAAGCCACCCACCACAATGGCCAATAATGCAAAGACTGATAACACCAGTGTTGGTGAGGATGTGGAGCAACTACAATTCTCACATACTGCAGGTTTTCTAGCCACACTGGCAAAGGATTTGATAGTATCTTATAAAGCTAAACATACACTTAACCATAAACCATATGACACAGCAATCCCACTCTTAGGTCATTTATCCAAGAGATGTATGTACATACAAAGACCTGTACATAGTGTTTTATAACAGCTATTCCTAAGAGTCCCCAAAGGGAAACAATCCTAATGTCTATTAACTAGTAGAGGTAAATAAAGCAGACAGTAAAGTTAATGTCTATTAACTGGTAGATGGGTAAAAAGAGGTCTGCTTTATTTGGGGGTACTCCTCTGTAATAAAAAGGAGTATGCTAATGATGTGTACAACTTCTTGAGTAAATTTCAAAAGCATTATGCCAAGTGAAAGATAAAAAAGAATCAAAACACTACATACTTGTATAATTCCATTTATGTGAAATTCTAGATGAAGTGAACTGTACAGTGACAGAAACCAGCGACAAGGTTGAAGGGAGTGGATTGACTCTAAAAGGGTAGGAGGACTTTGGGGAGTAAAGGAAACGTTCCATATCCCCATTATGATGGTAGATACGAGACTATATACATTTGTTAGAATTCATCCAATCATATACTTAAATCGATGAATTTTATTACATGTAAATTGTACCTCAATAAAGAGGATTTTAAAAAATCATACAGGGGCTTCCCTGGTGGCTCAGTGGTAAAGAATCTGCCTGCCAGTGCAGGAGACACAGGTTCAATCCCTCATCCAGGAAGATCCCACTTGCTGTGGAGCAAGTAAGCCCATGCACTACAGCTACTGGGCCTGTACTCTAGAGCGTGGGACCACAACTACTGAGCTCATGTGCTGCAACTACTGAAGCATGGGCGGGCTCCGGAATAAGAGAGGCAACCACAATGAGAAGGCTGCACACCTCAACTAGAGTAGTCTCCACACTCAAACTAGAGAAAAACCTGTGCAGTAACGAAGACCTAGCACAGCCAAAAATAGTCACACAAATCTATAAATATATTTGGTACCATATTACTTACCTGCAAATGTTTTCCAGGAAAATAATTATGGAAACTATCAAGTTGGATCTTTCTCACAGGCTATTTTTAAGCTCTCTCAATCATTTCTTAAGAGAAGTTTTGTATTTGCAGTACCTCCCCCTAGAGATAATTGGAAGGAGGAAGCAGGGCAGAGCAGACTATACTCATGGCCACACATGCCTCACCCTTTTCCTACCAAGTGACATCTCCCTTTTTATTGGGGTTCTGACATGTCTATGAGAAATTCTTTTTAGCTGAAGTTAAGTATGTGAAAGTTAAAAGCTAAAATATATATATATTTATCCCATATTTTAGTAAAAATAGAGAACCAGTAGGAAATTTTATACATCCATCAAGTAGTCAAAAAAGATCTCGGACTCTGATTTTCAGTGGCTCTAGTGGTAGAGAACCCACCTGCCAATGCAGGAGACCTAAGAGATACAGGTTCGATTCCCGCGTTGGGATGATCCTGGGGAGGAGGGCATGGCAACCCACTCCAGTATTCTTGCCTGGATAATCCCATAAACAGAGGGCCCTGGCGGGCTATAGTCCATAGGGTTGCAGAGTCAGACATGACTACAGTGACTTAGCGTGAACGCACAGCCAGTGAAGATAAAGCAGGGGCTAAAGCCACCCTTTGATAGCCAATGACTTAAGCAGAGAGTGGTTGTTCAATTAATATTAGTTCATTTGAAACTTAGTTGCTCAACAAGAGTTAAGCATATGCAAGGTCACATGCAGCCTCTTCTGTATCATATGAACTTTCTGAGTACTCTCCATTTAAAGAAGGCAGTCTTAGGCAGAGACTTAGTCCAGAGCAGAGTTAGGAGGAAAGCCCAGAGATCTTGCCCTTAATTCAGTGATTCTAACCCAGTGCAGAAAGTGAAGAAGAAATAAAGAGCCTCTTGATGAAAGTGAAAGAGGAGAGTGAAAAAGTTGGCTTAAAACTCAACATTCAGAAAACTAAGATCATGGCATCTGGTCCCATCACTTCATGGCAAATAGATGGGGAAACAATGGAAACAGTGACAGACTGTTTTCTTGGGCGCCAAAATCACCGCAGATGGTGACTGCAGCCATGAAATTAGAAGATGCTTGCTCCCTGGAAGAAAAGCTATGACCAACCTAGACAGCATATTAAAAAGCAGAGACATTACTTTGTCAACAAAGGTCTGTATAGTCAAAGCTATAGTTTTTCCAGTAGTCATATATGGATGTGACAGTTGGACTATAAGGAAAGCTGAGTGCCGAAGAATTGATGCTTCTAAACTGTGGTGCTGGAGAAGACACTTGAGAGTTCCCTGGACTGCAAGTAGATCCAACCAGTCCATCCTAAAGGAAATCAGTCTCAGGACTGATTATTCATTGGAAGGACTGATGCAGATGCTGAAACTCCAATACTTTGGCCACCTGATGCGAAGAACTGACTCATTAGAAAAGACTCTGATGCTGGGAAAGATTGAAGGCAGGAGAAGGGGACAACACAGGATGAAATGGTTGGATGGCATCACTGATTTGATGGACATGAGTTTGTGCAAGCTCTGGGAATTGGTGATTGACAGGGAAGCCTGGCGTGCTGCAGTCCATGGGGTCACAGAGTTGGACATGACTGAGTGACTGAATTGAACTGACTGACCCCAGTGCATTCGCTCTCCTCCCCCTGCCTCTGCTCCAAAGCTTGATATGTGTTGAATACATGGGTTGCAAGGAGTTGGACATGACTGAAGTGACTTCACTCACATGCATGTCTGAACTACTGCTGGGTATTCAGGAAAAAGTGGCTCTATGTCTAACAGATCCCAAGTTTTCAAGTCCTGGTTGGTAACAACCCAAAGACAGTTTCATTAAGTATACCAACAGATTTTACATATAACATACCACACTCATATTCTATAAAACTGTGTTTGTGGGACAGGAGATTGCTGGCAGGCCTACTTACTTTAACCATTCCTTGATGGGGTCAAGAGAGGCAACAGGAATCGCATTGATCATTGTCACTTTCTTGCTGTAATCCTTGTAGACGATCACCATGTCAAAGTTCTTCAGATGAAATTGGACTCGCTCAAAGTGAATCAGCTCCACTTCATCCAATGTCACCACAAAAGGTGGCTGTCCGGGAAGAAAGGAACTCTTTGCATAAATATACTTCCCACAAAACACTAGCATTTTCAAATGCTTTCAGGATCTAAAAACAACCACACAAAGGATAACTAAACTGTTTTTTGTTTGTTCTTTGGGGGCAAAGACTAAAAGCAATAAAACATACCAAGAAGCCCGGGTTAAAGGATCTATAAGATTGAAATCCTCCCTCAGGGAGAATTCATTTAAGGAAACTATGCAAAGAAACTACCTCTAAAAACTAAAGAGACTTTTAAAGAATCATTTGTTCAATTTTTATATCTAACGTAAGTAAATATAAAAAATTTAAATACTAAGATATAATAAGGACCTAGTTTTCAAAACATTTACCCTCTTGCTTTCTTTTCTCTAAACAATTTTCTCCCTAAAAAGAGGTCAGAAATACTCACCCATTCTGTAGCATTTACCAGTGCACTACTAGTAGGCTGAAGGAGGCAGGTACTCCTATAGGGAGCACCATTAAATCTGAAAGACAATAAGAGACTCACATAAGATGGGATTCACTGCAAGAGAAACTGCTGCTGTCCCAACAGGCTTCTTTCCTTTCCCATTCCAAACAAAACTCCAGCACACTTGCTGGAGACTCACTTCCAGAGGGAGCCTCTCAGTCTTAGCTATTCAACCAGCCCTTGAGCATTTCCAAGAGATAATGGATGTCCATAGGAAAAAGAACATGATATGATATGCTAAGTTCTTACTAAAGGAAGAATAACTAATTCTTCTGAAGATCAAAAAGAAGATGACACATTACCCCAAGTCCCTAAAAGGCACTTCAAATTCCAGTTCCTCCTTGGTTAGAGCCTCTACTTTTTCAATGAAATTTTTAAAGGCTGTTTTCAGTTTGTGCCTCATTTCTCTTTCCATCTGTAGAAGAAATACGAATTAACTTTAGTTATCACTTTACTTATTAATAGTAATCCCTTCAAAAACCATGAAGTGCTTTTGTAGTCCCTAATTCTGTTAACTATGATACTAACATGGATACTTTATTACAGGCTGCTAAAATTAATTGTAGAGTTATGCCTACAAATTAAGTCTAATTCAAAGCCAACATACTCTAACATCCCAGCAGATACTTGAGAAGTTCTGCATAGTTTCTGGAGTGGCTTATAAAATGAAACAATTACTGAGCTCAGATCTGTGCTGAATCCTAGCTCATGCTCAGTTGCTTCAGTCGTGTCCAACTCTTTGCTTCTAAGCTCCCCTGTCAGTGGGATTCTCCAGGCAAGAATACTGGAGTGGGTTGCCATGCCCTTCTCCAGGGGATCTTCCTGACCCAGGAATCGAACTCACATCTCCTGTGTCTCCTGCATTGCAGGAGGATTCCTTTACTGCTGAGACACCAGGGAAGCCTGAATCCTACCTCCCTACCCTACAAATAAAATACCAAATTTCACCTGCTCAGCATAGAGGTCATCTCGGTCATGCATATGCTGATGTTTCCCCAAGTCTGTGGTGATCTCCCCGACTTCTGTGTAGAACTGCACATCTGTGTGCCGTTTCTTCCCAAACATGATGGCATTCTAAAGACAGAAAGTAGAAAGAACAAGAAATTTTAAGACTTATTTCACAAAGAAGTCTACACAGGAAAAATAACAACAAAACATGAAAATATTAAAATATCTATGCTAGAAATCATAGCATTTATGTAAGAATAGTTAAACCACTCCAGGTGTCATCATGACGACATTTGGAAATATAAGAGTATAAATTTTTTAAAGTACTCCTACTTATTAGAATGGACTCTGGAGATTTATGTTGATAACTGTCTAAAGCAAAAACTTTCTATTTCAGAAACAGGAATGTGGAAAAGACCTATATATTCTGGAGATCATTATGTATCACACCAAGGAACAAACATGATCAGCATCTTTGACATGTCAGGCACTGGGGGCCTTATAAGCATTATTTTATTCAATGCCCTTAATGATCTTATATGACAGGTGATATTTTTCATCACTTTTTTAAAAGAAACATTGTGATAGTAAGATCTTGCCCAAGAGCTCACATCTAGCTGACAGACAGATATACCTTGAGGTGAAAGTGCAAGACAATAATCATTTCCCCATCACATGGCTGGAACAAAGCATGCTTGATGTTATTGTACAAAATATCCACTTTGTCTCCTCGGACAGACGTGAAGCGAAAACCTGGGTGGGGAGGGGGTGGGGAAGGAAGCAGCTAAGTATCAAGGTATATCATCAGGTTAACCCAAAAGGTACTGCATCTTTTCTGGCTGATTTGAACAGGGTCAGAAGGAATGCCAACAAGGTACAGAGTTTTCCTTTCTGTCTGGCCACACAGTATGTCAAATTAAGACTCCTCCCAGCACGTTCTACTATGTTATCTGGTCTGTCATTACTACAGATGTGCCACCAAAGACAAAGCCCAGGCACATGAGAGATTATCCATACCATTGACATGGGCCTCCAGTGAGCCTTGCATCCTCTTTTGGGCAATGTTTGGGCGAATGTACAGATCTTTCAGTTTGGGATTACTCCGGTTTAGATTGATCACCAGTGAATCTTGTTTCACAATGCCCTAAGCAGAATGAAAATCAACGTGAATTCTCACATCTCTTTCCAGGTCCCCAAACCCTCAACGTGTCCTTTTGCACAAAGGCACTTTGCTTTTGTTCAGGCTCACCTCCTTCTCTTTCTCTTCCGCTTCCCGAGTCTTATAACGCTTCTGCACTTCTTTTATAATTCGGAAAGCATTCTGAAGGTTCAAGGCTGGAACTGTCTGTTCTCCAGGTGCCTTCATATTTGAAGCTCGGTATGTACTACAGAAAAAGGGGAGCACTTATGTAATTTATCATGCCAGGTAACCCTCACCCATTACTGTGTTTTACAACTAGCTTAATACCTTTTAGGAGAAAAAGGTACCACTGAGTGGTGAAATAATGTCTGGAAAGATGAAAAAATCCTTCCTCTCTCTTAAACAGATGATGTTATAAATAGCTAATTCACTGAGTGGGGGAGTCACACTTAAATTTTAAATCCTGCATAAACTTCCCCAAATGATCCTATTTCACTTCAAGAATAAACAGACTCCAGTGTGGCACACATCTGATATTTTATCAACAAATATGTCAAGTGAGGATAAAATATCTTTATGAAGATTTAAATTAGGTTCCAACCTCAAAACAGTACAAGGTTAGTAAGGTGATCCTCCTAATCAAGTGCGACTGAGGAAGGTGCCGCCATTCACTAGGATGTGGGAGAACACGGCACTCTCTGGGTTTCTGAGGGTACTGCACCGGCCAGCAGGGATAGGAGGGTGGTTGTTTCCCTGGGAACTCACATTTCCTTGACAAAAGTGGCTTCTGGGTTGGGAAAGATGTTGCCCTCATTCCTGCCCAGAGCACTGCCTGGGCAGTAGAAGTTGATTCGCAAGTAAGTATAATCTCCTTCCACAGACATACTTATATTCTGTTCAAAGAAAGGAAAAGCATTAGCAAAAAAACCAAACAGATTTATTTCCTAGATGAAGGTAGCTATAGACATGCTAAAATTAAGTTAGTAGTTACAAACTGACAGCTAAACTTAGCCTGTAATCCTTACTCTAAAATTAATAAACCATGTATTTAGCTTATTTTTTTATATGACCAAATGTGTGTTTCTAAAAGAAACACTGAGTTCCCAAAGTTCTTTTTCTGTGCCATATTTATGACAACAGGTTAAACAGTTCTTCAAGTTCAAAGAGAAACAAGCAAAGTATGATTATAGACTAGATCATTTAATTTTCTTCAAAGTGTAAACGGGAAAGGAAGGAAAATAATAGCAGGAGATTAGGGAGCAGGGTGGGGGAGTCAGTAACATGGGAAAGGTAGAGTCACCAGGAGCATAGAATAGAAGAGACATGCAGTCAGGACAGCCGTGTATGGTAAGCACAATTATTTTAAGGAATTATTCGAATGAAGCCTGATTCAATGTCAGTACCTTGATTGTGGCAATGTGAAAAGGTGTTGCAATGCCAAACACAGGCATTATTACAGTCTCGTATTTTTTATCAATATAGATCTTCATTTCCCGAATGTGTGGTTCCTTAGGCATCAAAGATGGGTTTTTATAGGACACATTAGATTTACGAGCTCTGAAGTGGGAATAAAAAAATGTTCTTGAGAAATTTCTGCAAATCATATATAACCCTAAGATAATCTCACTACTCCATGCAAACTCTTACTTCTGAATCTGCTGTTCCCCTTTTTGTTCAGTTAATCGCCTCTTTGCTTCCTCGTTGAGTTGAGCTGCCAGTTCTTTTTGATGGGCTCTTCGCTTCTCTTCTGCAGTCATCTCATTCTAAAGAAGGGAAAACTGAAGTTATGAGGACCTGTGAACCATGACAAACAGGAAACTGAAGTAGTTTTCAAACTGTAAACTTACTCGTGTTCTTTCTGTAAGTAAAGCTGCTCTGGAACCTCTTCCCAACAGGTCCTCAGCTTCATCTTTCTCCTCTTCCTCTTCTTCCTCATCCTCATTCTATGGGGGAAAAAACCATCATCAGAAATTCAAGTCTTAATTATTTTAGCCATTATTGTTTACTTCTTCATTGTGTCCAACTTTTCACCACTCATTTTTATCTTCTTCCTACCTTTAGAAAAATCCCTACGTTCTTCACTTTCTTCTTCACAGAAGTGAGAACGGTAGCTGGGCCATCCTGGAATACAAAGAGGAAGTGAGACATCTCTAAGAGCATTTAAATGATATACTTTCACTTTCGAACCCAGTAACTAGCTGGGCCATGCTTTGAATCATCTGCCACTAAAAAAGTCTGTGACAACACATAAAACCAGTTATCTTCACAAATGCACATTTCTAGGAACTGCAATTTGGGAGGCAACAATGGGATAATGAGTAAGAATACTGGCTTGATTTGAAACCTGGCTCACTCACTTTTGAGCTCTGTAACATCTGGCAAGGTACATATACTTTCTTGTGTCTCAGTTGCTTTATCTACATATTTGGATAAGAGTATCTACTTCATAGAATTATTATAAGGATTCAATGAATTAATGTATAAATGTGTTCATATAAGAACACTGAAATATTTACTACCATTAAGAATCAACAGGGGCTCTGTGATGATATAGAAGGGTGGGATGGGGAAGCAGATGGGAAGGAGGGGACCGGATGCACCTATGGCTGATTCTTGTTGATGTCTGACAGAAAACAACAAAGTTCTGTAAAGCAATTATCCTTCTATTTAAAAATATAGTGGCAAAAAAAAAAATCAGTTCCCGCTAAGTTAAAGAAACCAGTCACAGAAACAAGAAAAAAGTCAAATAAATAACCTAACTCTACACCTAAAGCAACTAGAGAAGAAATGAAGAACCCCAGGGTTAGTAGAAGGAAAGAAATCTTAAATATTAGGGCAGAAATAAATGCAAAAGAAACTATAGAGACCATAGCAAAAATCAACAAAGCTAAAAGCTGGTTTTTTGAAAAAATAAACAAAATTGACAAACTGTAGCAAGACTCATTAAGAAACAGAGAGAAGAACCAAATTAACAAAATTAAAAATGAAAATGGAGCGATCACAACAGACAACACTGAAATACAAAGGATCATAAGAGACTACTACCAGCAGCTCTATGCCAATAAAATGGACAACTTGGAAGAAATGGACAAATTCTTGGAAAAGTATAACTTTCGAAAACTGAACCAGAAAGAAATAGAAGATCTTAACAGACCCATCACAAGCAAGGAAATCGAAACTGTATGGAGGCTAAATAACATACTTCTGAATAACCAACAAATCATAGAAGAAATAAAAAAAGAAATCAAAATATGGATAGAAGAATGAAAATGAAAATACAACAACCCAAAACCTATGGGACAGTGTAAAAGCAGTGCTAAGGGGAAGGTTCATAGCATTACAGGGTTACCTCAAGAAACAAGAAACCAGTCACAAAAACCACCCAAATGCTCAGAAAAGGCAAATCCTTAGAAGTCACTGCCTAGGCCTGGGAGGGAAATGAGGAGTGACTGCTAATGGGCACAGGGTTTCTTTCTGAGGTGATGAAAATGTTCTAAAACTAGACTATGGTGATAGTTGCATTAACTGTAAATATACTAAAAGTCACAATTGTACACTTTAATTGCATGGTATGTAGATTGTTAAAGCCATTACAAAAGAAAAAAAACCTCAGCTCTGTTATAGAATCAGTTCCTGAAATTATCATAATCAAGGTTCAAGCCACAATGTGATAAGAGTTTCATTTAAACAATCTGTATTTCTGGCTGTACTAGGTCAGGCTTTCAGAGGCATCTCTAATTCCCCTTAGCTAGCATTTAACAAATGATAAAAAGAAAAAACACCACATAACATAGATAAGCAATAAATAGTAAATAAGGATTTACTATGTACCACATGGAACTATACTCAGTATCTTTTAATAACTTAAAATGGAAAATAATATGTGTATATATATATATATATATATAAACTTAATCATTCTGCTATACACCTGAAACTAACATGATATTGTAAAATCAACTATTTGTTGCTGTTCAGTCCCTCAGTCATGTCTGACTCTTTGCGACCCCATGGGCTGCAGCATGCCAGGTTTCCCTGTCCTTTACCATCTCTTGGAGCTTGCTCAAACTCATATTCATTGAGTTGGTGATGCCATCCAATCATCTCATCCTGTCACCTCCTCCTCCTCCTCCTGCCTTCAATCTTTCCCAGCATCAGGGTCTTTTCCATAAGTCGGATCTTTGCATCAGGTGGCCAAAGTATTGGAGCTTTAGCATCAGTCCTTCTAATGAATATTCAGGATTGATTTCCTTTAGAATTGACTGGTTTGAACTACTTGCAATCCAAGGGACTCTCACATCCATACAGGACTACTGGAAAAATCAACTATACTTTCATTTTTTTAAAAAAGGGAGGGGGAACCATAGGGTTAAAAATGCACTTCAATATTCAGTTCATGAAAGAAGCAATATATACCTCATCCACAAGCACTGTGTCTCCAATGAACAGGGCATAGGTTTTCTCTTCTGGTTTCTTCCCTTCCTTGTTAGTCAAATCTGAGAATCCCAAATTGATGCTGAAAACCATTCCTAAACCAGCAAAACGGGAATCAGTGAATGACTGTGAAAGTTTGGAGAAGTGTGATTTTATACAGAATAGAGGGAGATGAAACTAAGGGAAAGTATTTTAAAAGGTATTTTTCTAATGTATGCATGTAAAACTCACCTTTCTTTAGTTTGTACTGATTTTTACTATTAATTACTAAAGAACCTTCACGGAATTCAATGCCCATTCCAAACCTAAAAAAGAAATGAAGGAAACTTCAACAATAGGCTTAAAAGGCCTCTAACCTGAGTCAGGTACACTACATCCTATTTTAATTTTCAAGGTAAGGCAGGCACACAAGCTAAGTAACTTGCCACTACTGATGAGTTGTTAAAGGGCACACTACCAAGAATGTATAACAACTAGAATAAGAGATAATTTCTAGTAGAATGTTGATAACTGGATTTACTAAGTCTCCTAGGCCAAAACTTAGTATAGGTCAATGTATTTCCTCTTGTCCATCACAGAAGTCCAGAAATAAACAATATATCCCAACTAGCTTCGTCTAAGGAGCCTGCCTAGAGCTTCTGTTTCTCAAATGTCTTTGGTTCTATAATATGTTAGTAGTATATCTAGGTGTTCAATGATCAAATACACTCGAGAAACACTGGAGTAAATAAAAACTTTAAGAATTTAAATAGCTGGATATCTCAGAGTGCTTATTTTGCAAATATGAATTGATTTGTTCTAAGGGAGGAAATATTGTATATAATGTCTTAACATTTGTAATTTAAGCCTGAAACATCTACAACACTGGTCTGAAAAGATCTCCATGAACTTACATACATTCTTTGATAACACAATGTGTCCGGCACACAGTTAAGTTGAATAGTCCACAAACATTGGTTGAATCATCTAAGAATACTTTGCCTAACTGCCACTCATGAAAATTGACAGTGACTATGTATATCACAGCATCTTACCCTAGGTTTTTGGTAATTTTGTTCAGCAGCTCTGGCTTCTGCTTTTTAACCACATCCATGACAGCATTATATACATCACATATCTTCACACCTAAGGACAAGACAGATGGGACATTAAAGTATCTTTCAGGAAAAAACTACAAATCACATTTTTATTTTTTATTTTTTTGAATTCTATTTATTTATTTTCCTTTATTTTTATTAGTTGGAGACTAATTACTAAATCACATTTTTATTTTTTATTTTTTTAAATCACATTTTTAAAAGCAACATTATTTTCACTCGTTAAGTCATGTAAAGCAGGGTTTCTCAAAACACACAATAAGGAATACAGTTGCAGGGCTGGTAGGGCTTAGAAATGTACATTTTAAAAAACAATCCACCCAGTCATTCTTTAATTACACTGTTGAGAATCACTCCAGGGGGACTGTGGAACCCTAGCTGGTCTCAGTGAAATAATTTAAGAGTTAATAAATGGCATTACATTAAATTTACTATACATTTTGAAGAACAAGACTACTGAACGGGTGAATTACTGTTGGAAGAATGCTGGACTTAATTTTTCAAGGTTTAGGATAAGAATATGTATTTCAAGCCAGAGTAGTTCAAGTACTGTAGCCTCAGAGGAGTTTTTATTCTCACTGAACAACCTAGGACTATGGAATGCCAGTTGGATTTCTCAAGATTGACCTGAGGTATCAGGAGGGAATGGTGTCTGGAAGCTCTGGGAAACTTTAAGTGGGCTTACAAAGTTGTTTAAAGGTGGTGAACATAAAGTCCCATTTAGCCAACTGGGAGTGGGGAGTCTCAAGGCAAAAGAGGTGCCAAATGCTCTGCTTTTAAGTAAGCAGTAGCTTGCTTAGCAGGGTTGTCATTAGTTCTGCTCTCAAACTAAGATTCCTGGTATTCATTCAATATAGGATATTAACATTAAATAGTCTGTTGGGAGAGATACTACTACTCAGAACTTTCTAAAGAAAAGTAGTAAGAGCATGGTATTTTATGAAGATCTGAACACAGAGATCTAACCAGTCAGAAAGGGTTCTGTAAACATCAATATAAAACCACAGTAACTATTCCTACATAAAAGAAAAGTACACTGAAGAACTAAATGCTAGGATGATTGGAGGTTAGTAAAATCTAATTCTATTTACAGTACAAGAGCCTCAGGGATAAACAGTCCCATGAATGTTACATTTTTGTTACATAATTTCTAAACCTCATCTAAGGCACACATTACCATGTCTTAGTTCCTTTAGCAGCTCCTCTTGCAGCTGAAGCAAAAAGTTGTAATTTTCTTGAACCTCCTGAGAAGGATCAACCATCAAAGTGCGAACAAGGTTTGAGCAATAAGATTTGAAGCGAATACCCATGGCACAGGTAATGGCCCCAAAATGCATATGATTCTTGTCACTAGAGACCAAAGGGAGAAAGCATCTCATTACACAAACTTGTGAAGTCCTTAGCACACCTAGCATACACATCTGTAATCATGATTTTGACCCACTATATCCCAAAGCTGAAGCAGAAAAAATGACCTAAACGGGTTTAAAAAAAAAAAAAAAACACCAAGTCAGAGAAAAAAAAAAAACACCAAGTCAGTTTATAAAGGCTATGGAAAGTTGTATCCCAGATATGCAAGTTATACTGAATTTTATGCATTATAATCTAACAGTATGATGGTAAGCCATCACCTATCCAACAGCCCTGACGAATAGCATTCTTTACAGTATTTTTAAAAATTAGAAGGGGAATATTTATGATATATCTAGTAAGATTTTTAGGAGAAGGCAATGGCCACCCACTCCGATACTCTTGCCTGGGAAATCCCATGGATGGAGGAGCCTGGTGGGCTACAGTCCATGGGGTCGCAAAGAGTTGGACACGACTGAGCAACTTCACTTTCACTTTTCACTTTCATGCACTGGAGAAGGAAATGGCAACCCACTCCAGTATTCTTGCCTGGAGAATCCCAGGGACGGAGGAGTCTGGTGGGCTGCCATCTATGGGGTCGCACAGAGTTGCACACGACTGACGCAACTTAGCAGTAGCAGCAGCAGTGAGATTTTTATTTTTTTAAACATGCTTTGCATTTTTTTCTTGTCATTTTTAATCATCTGGAAAATGCTTACAATCAAATACTCAAGTAAGAAATGAATAACTGTGAAATAAAATTAAACTCTACATAGAATAAAAAGATAATAGCCTGCAGGAGGCAGGCTAATGGTTATTCTTTCTCTTCCTACTTTTTCGAATCCCAGACTGAGTCTAAGAAAAAACAGGCCAAAGGCTGAAGTGCTCTGGTTGTTTTATATTTTGAAATTCTCATACTTACCTCACTACACTGAACTTGAGGTTATAGTTGCCACCACTCTGAATGATAGGAGGGTAACACATTTCCACAGTAGAAGGGTCTGCCCCAGCTAGGTATTTTTTCTCTTCTATGGCCTTTTCCACAGACTCAGCCAGTTTGCTGTGTCGAACTTTCTATAAAAATACCCAGAAATAAAACAATATTTACTATAGGGTGGCAGAAGGGTGTTGGGTTTTTGGACATGACCATTTGAAGACAACATATATCCTGATATCATACAGGATGCCAAAGAAGTTCTATGAAGTGGTTTATGCAACAGATAACACACTGGTGTACACGCAAAAGGCAATTTAGGGAATATGTGGAATTTGCAGCTATTCAAAGAATTCTCAAGTGACATACTGGGTAAGCTCCAGAAACTACAGTGGATGTTTATAGTTATTCTCAAAGAGAGCTGGCACAATTACACACCACCAACTTATCTACCAAAGGTAGCTGAACACAACCTAAAAAACACTGCATGGGAGCGACTTACTTCATTAAAACAGTAAAAAGACACTCCCACCCCCAATTTACCTCATCTGCATCAACTATTTCCATGACTCTTTCCTTGAAGAATTTGTTGAAGACCTCAGAGGTGATGCTAGCTGCTTTTTTCATTAGATTGAGCTCTCCATCCTCCTTTACAGCAATGGTATAGGCCACAACTGCACTGATGTCTATCTGCAGTCAAAGGGAAAAACAGTTCCTAACATGCAGACACAGAACCCCTAAAGAAATCTCTCTCCCCTGGTTCAAATATTATCAGTGACTATGCCTGGTTATTTAGCAAACTACTCATCAGCAGTTTGCAGAATATCTAAATATTCTCTTCTTGGATTGAATAAACATCTGAAAGAACTCTTTACCAGGTCATTGGTGTATGCTAAGAGGCACTGAACTAACACATCATTTAAAGTATAAATGTAAATGCCTCTCTTGAGGTTTCTATAAAGGCTGAAGGTAGACAGAAAAAAAATTTTTTTGGACAAGAGATTTTCCTCAATTTCCCTCTGGAGTAGCTGAACTGTCTCCTGAATGCCTCACTCCTAACTGAAAAGTGAATTGGTTTACCACTAAGTCACAAGAAATGAAAATGGAAATATGAATGAATATACAGCTTTCCCAAAACAAAGTCTCTGCACCATCAGTTGCGGAAGCCCCTCACAATCTTGTCTTCTCAACCCTCAGTGTGCCTGTTTTCAGAGCATTCTTACTTTGTCAAAGCCCTCTTTGTTGAGGCAGTCATTCCAGCTCTTCATGAACTCTCCTGGAAATTTGTCTTTGCTGAACACTCCAATCTTCTTGCCATTCTTGCTTTCTTTAATGGCTTCAATCATTTTATCAAAGCTGCTCTTGTTACTTTCATTCTGTCAGTGCCATAGGGAGAAAAAAGGGGTTTAGTTTCAGAATTAGGTATCTTATGTTCTAGTACTAGGCAGAGAATACTCTAAACTATGGAAAGAAATAAATTCTATCTCCCCTTTTCCTACCTATTTCTTTAAGGAAGACTGTAATATACCAAAAGGTTACACAAAATTTCTTTGGATATATTTAAATGCTTAAGTGAAGTGCCAAATAAGCTGAGAAGACTATTCTTTACTTCAGGAAGAGCTAAGAAACTGAAATACAAAGGTGAACAACATTCTGAAAAGAAATCTTTGTCAGATGGGCAATATAATAAAAAAAAGATTACATTTGATAAAAATTGGAAATGAGGTATACCTTTCCTTAAGGATATTTAAAGATTTTTGTTCTAATTAAGACACTCAGAGAAGTATCCTCAAGAATGGATAAAGTTAGTATTCACCATAATTTCATTACCCATTTGTGTTACTGCAAACTGACAGGGTTACTGAACTCTTTTCTTTCTTTCTAACAAATGACAGCTAAAATCTTCCCCTTGTGTTTTTAAATTCCTGGAAGGCTTTTCTGTTTACCACTTTTAAACATTCTTTCATATTTTTTTATGACGAATTCTTGTTAGTTCTGACCTTTTCTCGTACGAGTAGTGTGATGGCAGGGGCTCCGTTAGCATTCTCATTGCCCTTAGTGTTGGCAATCTGTTTCAAGAACTCCACTTTTTTCTTGCTGGCCATAAAGATGATTTTGTCATCACAGAATACCATGATAGTATCGGTTAGTTCATAACCAAAGAGCCATGTCTATGGGAAAAGACAACAATGTAAACAGACACAAAAAAATCAATTTATTGATACATATGAAATAAGGTATCTAGAATTAACTTCAAAATAATCATGCAGTGTGAGAACCTGGATATAGATTTCAATGAAATGAGATTGGTCAGTACTGTTCACTGAACTTTTTGTGAAAGAACTATTCTACACGTCCTCTCTTTAACAGGCTAGCCACTACAGAGTACTTGAGGCTGAGGAGCTGAAATTTTAATGTGGCTAGTGGCTACCATACTCAACAGTAGCTGATTCAATGACTCTCAGGGCTAAACACTGCTGTAAACTTCTCACCTGTAAGGCAGTTGATTTGGCATAAACAATTTCTTCATCAACACCCACTGATACAACAATGGCATCAACATTGGCATACTCATCTTCTCCTTTCTGAAAGGCAGAGTAGGTAATGTGGTCATTTTCTTTTCATACAAGCACAACAGGAACAGGTCCAAGATACATGTAATTTTTTCCTAATGGAAACCCGAAGTTTAAGGTACATATATACTTGGCAACCCTACAGTCATTACTTACTCTATTTTTAAAATAGCTTTCGGAGACAAAATTCATATACAATTCACCAACTTTTGTGTAAAATTCAGTGGTTTTCAGTGTATTCAGTTACACAACCATCACAATCTTATTTTAGAACATTTTCATCTCTCCCCCCAAAACCCATTAGCAACAATTATCCACCTCCTCTCAGTCCTAGCAACCACTAATCTCACTTGTCCCTAAGGATTTGTCTATTATGGACACTTAATATAAATGGAATCATAATACATGGCATTTGTGTCCGACCTCTTTCACATAATATTCTTTCATGGTTCACCTGTTTTAGCATGTATCAATACCACATTCCATTTTATTCCATTATGTGGATATACTACATTGTATCCATTCAACTGTTGGATATTCGAGTTGTTTCCATCTTTTGGCTACTATGAATAATGCTGCTATAATGGTAAGTAAGTTTTTGTGTGCACATATTTCTCTTGAGTATATTATCTAGGTGAGGAACTGATAGTTATATGGTAACTCTGTATTTAACTTTCTCAGGAAACACAAGACCCTTTTCTAAGGTGCCTGCACTATTTCACAAAATCCAATTTCTCCATATGCTGACCAACACTTAACTTTATTATAGCCATCCAATGGGTATGAAGTATCTCACTGCAGTTTTGATTTGTGTTTCCACAATGGTCAATGATCTTGACTGAACTCCCAGTCATGTGATTCTGATGATTTGTATACCTATTTGGAGAAGTGTGTGTTCAGATCCTTTTCCCACTCTGGGTTATTGCTTTATTACTAAGTCGTAAAGAGTTCTTTTTATATGTAAAAGTCTCTTATCAAATATGATTTGCATTTTTTTCTCCTGTTCAATGGATTTTCCTTTCACTTTTGTAATGATGTTGTCCTTTGAAGCACACAAGTTTTTATTTTGAAGAAGTCCAAATTCTTTTCTTGTGCTTTTGATGTCCTATGTAAGGTGGCTTTGCCGAACCCAAGGACACAAAGATATAACTATACTTTCTTCTATAGAAGTTTTATAGTTTTAGCTCTTATATTTACATTTATGCTTCATTTTTTTTCCCCCCTCAACATTTTCTCTCCATTCTTGGAATCCAATTGCTCCTTTCTGAATAGAATTTGTGGTGCTTTTCATTGTTTCTGGGGATTGCCAACAACGCCCTACACAAGAGATCCTCGCAGCACTTCCCCTAAGTTTCAGATTCTGTAATAAAGATGTACTTTCTGGGGTGGAGTCCAGCTGTCTTCAAGCTCACAAGTGACCCTGGTGATTCTGAAGATGGTCGGCCTTGCTCCATTGTGTTGCTGAATTTTCCACTGCTTATATTCCTTTTAATACGTTTTCCTCCAGCATTTCGTCTTTCTTTTGTTCACCGTCCACAACCTTATTCCAAGGCTGGAATAGTTCCCGGTGGGGACCGTTGCTCTGGCCGTTGGCGGCCGGCGCTGCAAGGCCCCACCCCTGGCGCGAGTCTAGGTGCCCCTGGGCCGGTAGGCCGAGCCTATGCTTCATTTTGAGTAAAGTTTGTGCATGGTGTAGGGAAGGGGCCTACCTCATTTCCCGCCCCCAAATTGTCTTGGCACCACATCAAAAATCAAACGATGTAAATGTGAAGGTTTATTTCTGGATTCTCAATTCTATCCCATTGAGTTACATGTCTGCCCTTACACTAGTACATTACTTTGATTACTGCAGCTTTGTATTAAGTCCTGAAATTGAGATCTGTGCATCCTCCAACCATTAGCTACTCCTGAACTGTTCTGTAAGACCTAAGCACTGATAACTGTGAGCTCTAACTAAGATCAAATCTCTGATTTCCCTATAAAGTCAAGAAAAATATTTACAGGGAATGCCCTGGTGGTACAGTGGTTAGGACTCTGAGCTTCCACCGTAGGGGCCCTGGTTCAATCCCTGATTAGGGAACTAAGATCCTACAAGATGTGTGGCAGGGCCAAAACAAAATAAAATCTACATACATAATGCTATAAATCATTAATATCTCAATTTTTAAAAAATTTATTTAAGGTTCTTTCACATTTTAAGACTTCTGGATGCCACTTAGGATCCAAATAAAATAGCAATTGAGGGTTCTGCTGCATTTCTCTAGCAAAACAAAATATATAACCCAAAGGAGTTACTATATAGTAACCTTATGCAGTCCTCACTGATTTTCACTGAGAAAATGTTTACCTTCAGGTTGGTAAGATTTTATCATTAGCTCCCACTGATGATGCAAAAGCAATGGTAATTAAAACTGCTAGTGCCTTAGCATAAAGCAAGTTAGTGGCACCAAGCTATGTTCATCACTACTACACACTCAATAGAAAGGAAAAAAAGCCAGTTTCACTTAAAATATGTCCTTGATGCAGTAAAAATGACTAATATTATAAAATCCTAACCTTTGAATATATGTCTTTTTAATAGTCTGTATAAAGAAATGGGAAGCAGCACATCCAAAGCACTTCTGTGTGTACACTGAACTATGACAGCTGTCTCAAGGAAAAGCACTTGTATCAATTATTTCAGTAATAAATTAAACTAGCCATTTAAACAGACTTGGATATCTAGCTTACATTTTCTTGAAAATGAATGAAGTGAGTCTATCACTTCAAGGAAAATGAAAGAAATGTGTTGTTAATGATGAAATCTGAGCCTTCAAACAGAAATCAAAATTTAGAAAACCTTGTACTCACCATTGTGAACCTGACAACTTCTCTGCTTACTCAAGAACTTTTTTGATGATATCAGCAGAATATTAACATACACAATTCTCCAACATCATATAATGAACCGTGTACATTTACCAGATGTATACAACTGAGGGAACAATATTTTCCAAATAACCAGTGGATGATGTTACAAAATTGTTGAGTATGAAAAGTTCACTGTTGTGGTTTTAAATTCCACATTACAACTAACTTTCAAGAGATAACCACTTCCAGGGAATTCCCTGGCAGTCCAGTGGTTAGGACTCAGCACTTTTACTGCCAAGGGCCCAGGTTCAACCCCTGGTCAGAGAACTAAGATCCCATAAGCCGAGAGGCCAAAAAAAAGAGAGAATGATTAACTACTTCCAGAGTTCTAGTGCAGCAACAAAGAATATCCACAGTTATCTGAAGAGTTTATTAATATTTCTTGCTTTTCCAACTTTATGTATGTACGAAGCCAAATTTCTTTATATACTTGCTCAAACCTATATAGAGAAAGATTTTGTGGGGAGCTGAATAATTTAAGACTGTAAAGGGGTCCTGTCATCAGAGCTGGGGACCGCTGTCCTATGATCCCTGACATGGATTAACACGAACTCTGGCATCAGGTAGTCTCTCCTTCTGCTTTGCTACATACATTCCAATTCTTCAGTAAACATGGGATTCTGTGCCAACAGTATTACTAGTACCTTGATAACCCCCCAAAATTAGCAACAGGTACTCACCTCTATTTATGTGTTTTGGCTACCAAAATGTAAATTTTTTCCCTAAACATGTCTTCAAAAATACCACAGAAACTAACCAAAAAGTCCCTTTTAGTATTTTTTTTTTTCTAATACTGGAGTGGGTATCCTTTCCCTTCTCCAGGGTATCTTCCCAACCCAGGGATTGAACCCAGGTCTCCCACATTGCAGGCAGATTCTTTGCCAGCTGAGCCACAAGGGAAGCCCCCCTTTTAGTATTTTTTGATACTTAAAATCTTAGTCAAATTTTTTTCACAAAGGGCATCAACATGCACAAAAATTCAAAATGCACAGTAATAAATTTTTAAAGCTGCTGTTCAGTCACTAAGTTGTGTCTGACTCTTTACAATCCCATGGACTGCAGCACACCAGGCTCCTGTGTCTTCCACTATCTCCCAGACCTTGCTCAAATTCATGTCTAATGAGTTAGTGATATACAAATATAATCACATAATTAATCATTAATAACATAGGAAAACCATACAAAGTTATCTCAATAGAACTGAAAATAGGAAGAGAGAAAAAAAGACCTATGTACTCAGCTTTCTTATGAGGATATGGGAAACCAATCCATCAAATCTCAAGGATTTCCATTAATATAAAATGTCTGGTTTTCTACTGTCCATCAAAAAGGTGAGAGGATGAATCCTAAACTCTCTTGGAACCCAGTTGCTCTGACCATTTCATAGAATATTTTTGATTGATTCTTTACAAACACCAGGAGAAATAAAAGCAGACTATCTAAAAATAATAAATTTAAATAAAGTTTTTTCTTAAAATGTGATTCAATGAAAAGGATTACAATAAAGTCAACAATTTTGACAGCAAAGCCTTGGGCGCTATTTTGTATTTTCAAATCTTATAAGGCATATAAATACCCTTATAGAGATTAAATCTGAAAATAGCCTTCTGAAACTGTGGGAGATTAATAATCTGCTTTTAAAACTTCCATGATGGGAGTGGGGTGGGAGGGAGGCTCAAGAAGGAGGGGTTGTATGCATACTTGTAGGTGATTCATTCCTTGTAGAGCTGAAACCAATGCAACATTACAAAGCAATTATCCTCCAATTAAACACAAATTAAACAAAAGTAGCATGTTACCCACAGTAACATTTTAATAAATTATATACAATACTAAAATATTTTCAGATGAACTTACGCCTGGAATTTGTTTTAAAGTACTGGAGTGGGGGACTTTCCTAGTGGTCCAATGGGTAAGACTCCATGCTGCCACTGCAAGGAGCATGGGTTTGATTCCTGGTCAGGGTACTAAGATCCCACATGCTGCACAGTGTGGCCAAAAAATAAATGAATAAACAAACAAACAAAGGAATAACAAAAAAAAAATACTGGGAGGGGGTGGCAAGAAAAAAAAGGCCACGAGGCTAGCTGCTGCTGCCCCAG